CTTTCTAGTTGATCTGGCCATGCATCCAAAACTGCATGGACATCTTGCACAAATAATGGGAAATGGTGGCATAGTGGTGATGTCACTGGACTACTAATCTACATTGGCTGATGTTCAGGGGTACAGGTTTGAATCACACCAGGGCAGATGGTGAAATTCAAGTGCAATAAACATCCAGAATAAGAAGCTAGCCTCATGGAGACCGTATAACTACTTTTAATTGTTATAAAACCCTATTCAGTTTGCTCCTCTCCTTTTAAGGAAAGAAATCTACCTTATCTGGAATGGCCTACACGTGATTCTAGATCCACAGAAATGTGGTTAACTCTTCATTGCCCAATTGGCAAAAAGTGCTGACATTGCCAGCAACACCCATGTCCCATCAATGAATAATGTTTTTAAAAAAGAAAGGACGCTTTCAGGATCCAATTTTTCACTGCTTAGTTTACCTAGAAGTGGTGTTAGGGGCTGCAGGATGTCATTGATGGTTGGAAGAATGTTATATAAACAATTCTTAGCTGCATTTTGGTGAGGTATTTTAATATTTTTAACTTCATGCTTGACAAGATAGATAGTTCCATTTTCTTTTGGAGCTATTATTTCTTGTCAGGTGAGGGGAGAGGTTGAGGAGGAGAGTCCTTTTGTAGTAACCTCAGGTAGTGCAATAATTGAACTCATGCTGTTGGCATTACTCTGCTTCACAAATATAATTAACTAGCTGACTTTTTACAACAATCTGGTAGCTTAACGTGAACAACAAGTGCCCTGTATTGCCACTTTTTTCAGAGCACCCACCATCAAATGGCTATTATTGGGCTTTCCAAGTGATTGAGTAATCCTACCTCTGAGAGCGCTATCCAATCAGAAGGTGATACTCTCCATTATAGGCAGTATCACAATGGCAGCAATGATGGCTGCTGGTAATGCACCTACCTAAGGCCCAGGTTTGGCAAGGGATCTGAACCAAAGGTAAGCAAGGACAAAATGGAGATTAAGGAATGACATTTGGATGCAACAGCAGGTGGGAGCTCTCAATGTGTCACTTCCCAATCACTGAGTGAATGTGAATTAAGGATTCTACCCTTCTCCCCATGCCTAGAAACCTTCAGGCAAATCCATCAAGGGTTTGCTCTTTGAGCTTCCTGTGTGGCAACAGACTTACACTATGGAGGGATGATGAAGATCTTAAGAGGGCATTAGCTTCACACTGGAGGGCTTCATTTATTGTCTGGGAGGGAAAGCTATCCATGACCTGCTATTAACTTAATTGTGTGGAAACAGGAAGGCAGGTATTACATTCTTCTCTTGAGCATAAATGTACGAATTGCACAGGGAATGATGAAATAATATTGTGGGCTCGTTATTTGATAGTAAGACTCCATAGATATAATGTTGACTATTCATATAAACATGTAATTTTATGATTCCAACTGGTTATACTACTGGCTAAGTCAGATATCAGATAATATGGTTTTATTCTGTTGAACACATTTGCATGAAGTTGCAGATTTTCTTTAATTTTAATCTTCACTTCTTTTAACCTGCATTTCTCCTGATTTGGAAGCTTATCAAAATAAACCCTTCTGCAGAAGTAAACTGGTTCCCTGAATTGTCCTGAACTATCCTTAGAGGGGAGCTGAACTTACTTCTGAACTCAGTCTTGCTGTCTTCGGAACTGAATGGAGAAACGTGCTTCATCCTAGATTACTCTGAACTGAAAACTAAGCTTTGTATGTTTACTCTATCTGTTGTAAATCCAGTAGTATAAACATATTTCCTTTAACACCACAGTAGTTTGTACTTGCCTGCATCCTGACAGAAACTGGATTTACGTTTTAGATCCAGAAGGGCCCTTACCATTCTTACAAAAAAAAACCTTCGCAAACATTACCTACACTCATCTGCCTCTATTTTGAAATCCAAATTTTGATCATCTTAAATTATAAACTTAATTACAACTGTGAGCTACGTTTAGTATAACTAGGATCTACCACTGCTACTTCAAACTAACAAGTTACCATTAAAAATGACCACTCTTAAGTCTGAATTGTTCAAGAAGGCAAAGATTTTGTTTGGGCATATTGGTGAGCAGAGATTCTCTAGAATTTCCTACCTGGGCCTGGTTGCACATGGAAGAAGGACAGAGTTAAGGATGAGAAGATTAATATGTGGTGTGAATGTTGCTTGCCACTTGTCAGCCTAGGCCTGGATATTGTCCAGATCTTGTTGCATTTGAACGTGGACTGCTTCATTATCTGAGGAGTCATGAATGGTGATGAACATTGTGCAATCATCAGCAAACATCCCCATTTCTGACCTAGTGATTGAGGTAAGGTTATTGATGAAACTGCTTGTTATCTAAGAACAATGTTTTTTCTGAAGACAATTGATGGTGGTATATCCTCTATCTTTTAATCACAAGTTAAGCCCAAAATGAGGCAAAGATGAAGGACAATTGGTGGCAGTGAAGTATTTCAAACAATCCATACTCAACACCTCATACTGGTAAAGGTGGCAAGGTACTGCAAGGTACCTAGAATGTCACAAACTTGCTTCAGACAACCTGGAATTTCCCCAGTTCACAAAATCTTATCGAAAAGCTCTCAAGTTGTAAGGAATTTCAGAATGACCAACTACACTATTAAATAACATTACTGGTCAATGTGCCGTGTTCATTTTAGGACAATGATTTACTGGCAAAATATGCCAATATCAAATGTACTTCGTTGAAAATTGCATTTCCCCATTCACAACTGTACTTGAAGTTAGATCTATTTTGACTGTGAAAGATGCATTTTGGTCTTGATTTTTAATTAGCCCCCACCTGTTGGAAAAAGTTTTGGAGACAGGACATTTATAACATTAAGAGTTTTGTAACCTTCACTCATCCTGTTACCTTTGTTGCATGTCTCAATATGCTGCTGTTTGAAACTGGCAAGCAGGATGTTTACACGAAGGAAGTTTGTCCTACTTTAAAATGTGTAGATCAAAATATCATTAGGATTGAACCTGCAATTTCAAACTGAGGATTGAATGTGGGGCCAGTGCCAACTTCTAGGAGCCAATTCATAGGCCAGAAGTGATTCAACAGGTAAATTTAAAGATTTTATTTTTAGCATTTTGAGGGCCACGTGTCCTCCTCTGGGCCATAGAATCATAGAATCCCTACAGTATGGAAATAGGCTGTTCGTCCCAACATGTCCACACCGACCCTGCAAAGAGCATCGCACCTAGAACCATCCCCCTACCTTTTCCCTGTAACCCTACATTTCCCATGGCTAACACACCTAATCTACACATCCCTGAACACTATGGGCAATTTAGCATGGCCAATCTACCTAGCCTGCACATCTTTGGACTGTAGGAGGAAACCGGAGCACCCGGCGGAAACCCATGCAGACACGGGGAGAATGTGCAAACTCTACGTAGACAGTCGCCCGAGGGTGGAACTGAACTCAAATGAATTTTTGACCCTCACTGGTCCCAGGTTAGCCCTCAATTCTAATCTTTGACACATCCTTTTCCTTTTTCCTAATTCTGTCTAGAGCCTTCTACACCATGTCCCCACGTCCCCCTTCCAATCCTATCATCCATTTTTTAGTTTACTTGCGGGACACAGGCATTACTGGCTAGCTGTCATTTATTGCCCATCCCTAGTTGCCCTTGAGAAGGTGGTGGTGAGCTGCCTTCTTAAACTGCTGCAGGCCACACGCTGTAGGTTGACCTGCAATGCCCTTAGGGAGGGAATTCCAGGATTTTGGCCCAGTGACAGTGAAGGAACAGCAATTATATTTACAAGTCAGGATGATGAGTGGCTTGGAGGCGACCTTGCAGGTGTTGGTGTTCCTACTATCCTACCATCCCACCTAAACCTTTACATCCATCATTGACTATGGGTGGCAGAGTGGCTCAGTGGTTAGCGCTGCTGCTTCTCAGCGCCACTGACCTGGGTTCAATTCCACCCTTAGGCAACTGTTTGGAGTTTGCACATTCTCCCCATGCCTGCATGGATTTCATTTGGGTGTTCCGGTTTCCTCCATAGTCCAAATCTGTGCAGGTTAGGTGAATTGGCCATGAGAAATGCAGGGTTACAGGGATAGGATAGTGGATGGTTCAGGGTGGGATGATATTAGGAGGGTCAGCGTGGACCTGATGGGCCAAATAGCTTCCTTTCACATTGTAAGGATTTGATGATACCATGGCTCATTCACATAACTCCCGAGGTATGGTCTCTTTCCGGTAGATGAACTGGACAGTTAACTGGCCAGTTGTGAGGTATGTTGTGTAGATTTTTTAAAATGAAGCCCTCCCATGAAAATTGGCAGGCTTTATGTGTCTCTGGTTTTGTAAAGTCTGTTTCCTGCTCCTGCCTCTTCTGCACTTTTCTTAAACCCTTGTGTTTCAAATGGGGCAATTTTTGTCCACTCTTTGTGCTCTTTTTTGAAAGAATCTCCTCTCAGCTGCCTGCCAGAGAAGATGCTTCACTGATTTGCTCTTTAACCGTCGAGTATTGCTAAATTAGCTTCAGAAATTATTTGATATTTTGCACTGAAAATAATTTGAACCAAAAAGCATGGTCACATTTTTTGTGAGAAAGAAGATTGATAATTTATTTTCCTGTCTGAACTGAAGCTAGTTTATCTTTTTTGCAGTAATATATTATCATGAGCTATATCTTGTATTTTTAAAAAAGACCATTGTCTTCTTTTACATAAAATCACACAAGTTCCTCTTTCTCCTTCCCTCTGAGATGAGAAGCCAATGAAAAAACAGATGGTTTCTGCTGCAGTCACCAAATCTCTCAGCTGCAGGGTAAGAAGAGCCTTCTGGGGAGTTATCTGGCATTTAGCAGGCTGTCATATGTATGCAGCTGCTGGCTGAAGCAGGAATTTTCTAATGATTTTCTTCCCTGACCTTTATTACTGATGCATCTTCTTTCAGAACCATCTTTCCTTCACCAGCAAAATACCATTTTTTTAATGTTTCATTTTCTCATGCAGAACTAACAGAAAGATGGTGCCGTTTGAAAGGAAACCTGCTCTTCTTAATGAAAAATAGAAGCAGTGTAAGTAATTACCATATCTCTCTCAACCCAGGTTTTATTGTGTTTTCCAATTTAAGCTTTTCATTTTATGGTGGTAATATTTTCCTAGTGTCTTCTAATGGTAATTTAGCAAAGCGTAGAGTTCTGTGCTGAATTCAACTTTCTGAGATTTGTTTTGTAAACTGTGTCAGATGTTTCTTGAGATATTTTTGACCAGTAAGGACATGGGTAGCAAAGTAATATGCTTTTTCAAGTATGGATGAGGCATATTAGAGCTAATTAACAATTGTCGGGCTGGCTGAGGAAGCGACTATGCATGTCAGATATCAATTCAACAGTGCAAACATTTGTAAAAGCTACATGTAAATTGAATTCAATCTGTGCACATGGAGAGTGTCCCCAAGGTGTGATATAAACAGCTTTAAAATTTAATTAGGTGATAAGTGTGATGACAGAGATGCAGCAAAATAAATATGTTATAAATACTCTAGCTGTTTCCAACATACAGTTGCATCATATAAAGAATCTTCAGGTTAAAAGCAAGGACAATTACATGCTTCCGAATATCCTGCATCCTCTTTCTTGATTAATTATGCATTAAAGTTTTTCAATTTTATGCTGTAGTTTGGTCATTTTCAATATTGGTAGGAACTGTATTTTGTATTTTTACTCAATTGTTGTGGGGTATGCAGGTTTGCTTCTATTAAATTTGTTCTGCAAAATAGAATCTTTCTAAAAAGGTTGCCAATTGTAGTAATTACACTCTAAGATATGCATTTTATTCCTATTCTTGATATAATGAAATCTAATATTTTATGATTAATTTTTGTTGAAAATATAGTTGACAGGAATAATAAGCAATTCATTAGCAATTGTTTTCTTAGACTGACTATTAAAAGATATTTGCTATGTGCAATGGCTTCTGCATATTTTGAGCTTTCAAGAATGTCACATTAAGAATAAAAAATGTTGTCACAGTACTTGTATCAGAAACTACTTTGTCATGTGCCACCGCTTTCAAATTCACTTTTATCTGTCGAAGATGGTATGTGATTTCAATTGCCCTTTGCTTTCAACAAAAATAATCTTGTCATTGCACCTAACAAAGCTATTTTGTTTAAACAATCTATCCACAGATAAACTCTCTCTCAAATTGCCTGTCTAAAACTGGGGTTGCCTGAAAAATGGATATTTTTAGAATGTGCCATGCATCCTTTCTTTAAATTTTTTTTAACTTTATTAAGGGCTAGAAACCCTTGAACTTATTTGACCCTTATTAGCCTGGACCATCCACTGCCCAAAACACCCAACCTGAAATCTGGCAAAATCCAAAATTCTGCGTGGCCTTGATCCTTAGCGTGTACTGTACAAGTAAGTTGCACATTTTAAAAGCCCTGTTAAAAATATGTGCTGTTATTTGATTGTGCAGAATGTTTGTGCTGAATCTAAATCATCGTGTGAACATTTAGTTGTAACACTGTTTGACTGTTTATCATGTTTGCTTTTATAACCTGACGAATTTTTTGGAACAACTTTTCCACATAACTGGTGTATGTACTGCCAATGATTCAGACTTTTACTCAGTAAAATTAAATAGTTGTGGCTGTATAACTTGCTGGTACTTTAGATTTTTCAAACTACTTTAAGACTAGTGTGTACTCAAATGATTTCTTCCACAGGTAGTTTTAATGTTGTATAAAGCAGTGATACCATAATAATGGAAAATATAAATCACAATTATAAAAAAACATCCATTGAATTTGTGGGTATAATTTGTTTTTAAACAATCTCTCAGTTCCATTTACTGCAATTATTGGATTGCACAATATAAGTTTTTACGCTGGCCTATGAACCATGTATAGATTTGGAAGGCCGGGGTGGGATTTTGATGCTGAAGCCAGGCAACCATATTTATATGACTCAGACTTTTCTGTATTTATTGACCAATAAGAATGCTATTTTTGCTGTTGTGTGCTGGTTTAAAAAAAGTTTTCTGCAATGAAAGTATTATTTTGTTCCAGTAACCAGCTCTAGTTTGGAAACAAGGACAGTGGATTCCTGACACTACAGAATTACAGTTAAACTTCACTGTAATGAACCCTCACTGGACTGGCAGAAAATCATTCCAGTAGAATTTGCTGCACTGCGAAAAATGAAGATAGAATTAATTTGAATTGAACATAATTTTTAAAGCCACTAATATAGTGTAGTTTTTCATATTACTTGACTCATGCACAGTGATTCAATCTTGTCAAACCAATCCAAAAAGGATCAGCTGTTCCTGGTAATGACTGGCCAATTTGGAATACAAAACCAAACTTATGCAATGTTACTTTCATCAGCTTTCTCAAATCAGCAATAGACTCTCTCTCATCAAGAAATTCATGAATCACAGTCCAAATTTGTTTTTTGTGAACCTGAATTTCCTGATTTTGTTTTCAGAGACAAAGTTGATCTTTTTCTTGCTGTCTTCATGCATGCCATATGGAGGCTTCTGCTTTGTGTAAGTTTACTCCTTGCAGCTGCTTCCTCATGCCCACTGCTTCATTACAGTTTGTTTACAGTTGGGAAGTTACCTTATTAGACAATGAATGCAAGTTTGTCATGTAGAATCCACACTGCTGTGGGTTACCTTTTCAATTAGTCTCAGCTTAAATCCCATCATTGCATCTGGGTAGAACCTACTCCAATGTTCATTGTAGTGGGGCTAATTTCCATTGAAAAAAACTAGATTTTGCTAGTGGGATCATTGAAACCAGTGAATCATGATATGCACAACTTGTTATGATAGATTGTACTACACTTGCTATGTTCTGGTCAGTCTACCAATTTTTGCAGTGCGTCATTAGAATGTACTCATATTTGTAGATGCTCTGTCACATAGAAGAGATAGAATATCATTAACCCAAGTTCCTCTGCAAACTCTTTGAACGAGCTATTACTGTATTCTCTATCCTTTGTTCCTTCCTGATTGCCCTGTCTTGCATTTTTGTTTTCTTTTTAAGTTTATATCCAATTTATTTTTGAAAATAACTATGGACTGTTTCTGGTCATGTATAAAATATTGTTATTCATTGATTCATTGCCAAGCATCTTAAATCTCTTTCTTTTGGTTATTAACACATTCTCTTTACTTACTTCATAAAAACCTTTCATAATTTTGAATATACCTACTGAATTTCCTCTGATCTAAGGAGAATAATCCCAGTTTCTCTGTTCACACTGAAGTTTCTCATTCCTGTTCAAGTAAATCTTCTTGACACCCTTTGAAGTGCAGTGACCGTGTTTACAGTTGTAGATTTTCATGAGAAGTAGGGACACAGAAGCAAGAAGTGGACAATAAGTGAGTTCAATAATATTGTTTTAATTGTGAAAATGGTGTTAGTTACAATGTATTATAGACACATTATAGAATTTTTTTTAACAATGTAATGTTTCCAAAACTAATGATAGACATCATTTAATGCTATTGAATCTCTCTGGAATACTTTTTCTATTGCCAGATATTTTCTTAAAAGCACTTCACAAAATTCACTTTGGCCTGACAAACAGACAACTCCAAATAGTTTGGTCTTTTAATGAGGTGAGAAGTCATGATCCTAATGAATGTCCGATCTGGCTCAATGGGCTGTATGGTGAACTCCTGCTTGTAGTTCTTATATTTTTGGTTCAAGTATCTTGGAAGGAATTCCTAAGATTTTATGCAAGAACCAAGCTCATGTGTTTTCTTTTTGGCTTTCTGTAAAAGGAATAAACGTGCAGCACAATTTATAGTCCGATTCAGTTCTTACTTCTAGCAGCATGAAGCTCCATCTCTCAAATGCAACTTGCCATAACAAACATGCAGATAGGCAATTGTGGAACATGCATTGACTTCACAGAATAATGGCTGAAATAACACCCAGCTTTTACATTCGTTATGCAGTACACACACTCTTCTCTCGTCCCCCACAGTTTCAACATTTTTCCAACCAAAAATATCCCAAATCAAATGACTTGGGAGATTTCAGTTTTGTGCCACTTAGATCAATATATCTAAGAAGTGCTCACGAAACTATATCTCAACTATTCCCAGTAGTCAGTGCAATTTCTCATTCACCCTTCTTTCCATCCATAAGCCCTATTACTGCCAAGGGCAAATGTTGGCCCTATTAAATAGATCATGGTACTAAATTTAATGTAAGAGTCATTCTGTATGTATTTGTAAATTAATCTATAATGTATCATAAAGAAAAATGCACTGAAAAATCAAATAAATATCTGAAAAATATTTTGGCAAGAGATTTCAGCCTGTTAAATTCAATGCTGCAGTGTTGGAATTTAGGTTGTGGAGAGAACCATTAACACATGTGATGTGATGACTGCAGCAGCATTTCTACAGCAGGGTCATAAATTAGATTGCAGTTTTCTTTTAGTTTAGCCAAGAATATTGTGAGTTACAAAATGATCTGCTCAAAATTAGGAATGAAATAATGATCTTTATGAAAATACTGAATGACAGAAATAATGCTTAGTATGAGAAAAAGGCACTCTCAGAACTACCTGTAATAACAATACTATAAAGAGTATGCTAAGAAAACTGTCAGTCACAAAAGATCTGTTACCTTTTCTCATTTTACCAGACTTGACGTCAATGGAAAATGACTTCCTATTGCTAACACTAAATAAATATCGTAATAAAATTAGCAATGATCCAGTTTCATATTATGGTTGTGGATTGTAGTTGGAGTCCCAGCAGCAGCTGTCACTCTGCCAGCTGTATACGTGATCAGAAACACTGATTTATTTTTTCACACAGAGTTTGCAAACCTTGTAGAAATAAACTGTGGATGTTTTAGGATGTCTTTTTCCTGCACTTTCAATTTTTATGTAGCAGTTAGTCAATGTAAAGAACCAATTTTCCATTTCCAATTTGACTTTAACTATTACACATGTACAATATCTAAACCACATCTGAACACTTAACTGTAAAATTACCTTAAAAACCACATTGTTTCCCTCATTATTCATTCGTGCAAAGA